ATTTTTCTTTTGAAAATCAATAACAATTCAAATAGAAAATTCAAGTGCCAAATGCATATGACTTGCCAAATCTCAAAAAGAAGAGTTAACAAAATGATATCATGAAGTATGCTACCAAGATAACCTGAATCTTTCCCTCTTATTACCCTATTTCATTTCAGATATTCAATTTCATGGCAACAAAAGCCATAACTAAAAACTCAACTTGTACGCATATTGCAAAAACCTAAAACATCAAGAACTAGCTAGAAGCTTAAAGCCATGTTTTAATCAGATAACACATTTTTAATGGCTGTAAAAATTGCTTACCTCTTCACGCTCAGTGATGCGAGCCAGGGGAAGTATTACTTGACCGCTGAAACCTCCTACTTAAGACTCTGGTAAGCTACAGGGACCAACTTTAATTGCTGCTGCTAAGTAAACATCAATGCTATTATCAGCCCATTCAGATCTGTGCTCATGCAAAAACCATAAAGAATGGCCAGATGCACATTCTAAAATAGAAACAGTGGACAACAAAAGAGGTAAAGGAGTAAGTTTGTTAGCATGTCACAACTTACAACAGAAGATACAGACAAAAGGATTTCCATTTTTTAGCTATGCTTTTGTCCATTTCAATTCAGATAGTACACAACCTATCAACTTATTATTTATCTATTAAGTGATATAAAAAGCATTTCTTCTCAAATAATAATAGGCAATAGCTATTTAATAATTGTCCTCTAAGTAAATAATCGACCACTTCCAAGTCACGTGAGTGATAGGAATGCTTAATTCCATTGTGCAGGTTGCACATACTGACTCCTTTTTTTGCCCATTGCACATACCGGGTCCTTGGTAAGCATTTTGTAGGCAAGTTCAAAAGCAAATTAGTTTTTTACCTTGATTTTGGGCAATGGTCAAATAAAAAGAGGCAAGGAGACCTAAAGCTGAAAATAAATAAGGCCGTATTTAGTTCTCCAATAAATATGAAAAGGTAACATAATTTAATATATCATTAATTTATTTGCAATCATATAAAATTTAATATTTCACTCAAGGAATACTTTTTCTCTTTTTTTGTTTATTCATCTTTCTACACTAACACTAATAGGTAACAGCACATTGCACAATGACAAAGAACAAATCTTTTTCTCAACTAGCTCCTTTGTTCAAAACATTTTCCTGACCTCCCTTTGTCAGTTTTTCATTTTACTTCCAACAAATGGATAGTTCGTTTTTATTATCCTCAACTTTTCCTTTTATCAATTAAACTAATCTATTGGTTTTTTTTTTATCAATTAAACAAAGTAAGGAAGAAATTTTCAAAAATATTTACTTGTGAGAAATTAGAATCCACTCCAAATGCTAAGACAAACCAAGCAAAGAGCACCAAAAGAAAAACAAAGCTCCCTTAGATTTTACAATGGTGGCCGAATGCAAAACCATAGAGAGTATTAGCATTTAGGTGCTCAAATCTCAAAATCCAACCAAAACCTGGAAGGCAATTTTTCGCTTTTATCACAATTGACAACCAAAGACTAATCTTAGAAGACTGAATCAAACATGAAGAAAATGGAAATTGATCAGCCAAAGCACTGCCAAAACATAGGAGTAAAAAGACCAACCTAGTGTTAAAGGATCATGATAGGTGCACACCTGGGTGTGGGATCCGGGTGTGCACCCCTCCACATAAAAAAAAAAGTTGGACCGGGTGTTGGATCTTTTCTTTTTTTTTTATGTGGAGGTGTGGGATCCGATTGTGCACGCATCATTATCCAATGTTAAATTACCTAAAACCACTCCAATATATGAAATGGAGAATTAAAGATGGGAGGGCACAACAGGAAGAGGCCACGAAATGTGGGCATGCATGCCCCCCATAGGTGAAATGGAGAAACAAAATTCTATGGGTAAAAGTGTAAACTCAATTTCAAATAACAAAAATACCACTTATGACTTGTGAAATAGAGTGAAGAAACTTGGAGGACAAAAAAGGAAAAATAAAAATATACTGTAGCAATGTGAGAGGAGGGGCTTCCACCGATTAACTTACTTGATGTTGGCTTTTGTAACCCTTCAAAAACTTTATAGGAGATGCCTTGTAAGCCGGATAACACCCCGAGCATAATTTTTCAGTGTCATTTTTTAAAGTTTTTTTAATTTATATTTTTAAGATATATATTAAAGGTATATTAGATACATTTTTTTATATTAAAAATAAAAGTTAATTTTTAATATGTCAATTATTTAATTGAATCTATTTGTTCGATAATGATATTAAAATTAATATTAATTTTTATATATTTTTATATATATTTATGATTAAAAAATGCCCTTATGATTGCAAGTTAAAAAAATCCTCTCTTTCTTTTTTGTTTTTAAATGTTTGATCAAACTATATCAGTTAGATTGAAACTTAAAGACATGTAGGGTTAAGCTTAGTCAAACTCCATCCTCTCCTCTCCTAACAAGCTTATTTTCCTTCTAAAAGCTCATATATTGTTCAAAATGATGGCACATTCTTAAACA